GGGGGGGGTGAGATGTTACTGTCTCTATTACGAAATTATTCCATCAGAATTTATAACTGTTAGATCAACTATCCCAGACGATTACATGATGATTAAAATAGTTACAAATTTTTTTTGACAGAACGATTATATAACGGGACCGTAGCTCGTTTAATTTCAACGCAATCTCTAGATATTTTACCATTGAATCAAAATATATTCATACCAAACAATGATGGTAATAGTATAATTTTTTTTTTTTTTTTGGTACAAATGGTAATAGTATAATTGAGTGGCAGCTCTGGAGCACAGTACTACTTGTCCTTGAAGGCCGCTATTTTGTAACCGTTACATTTGTCTGATTATCTCATGCAATGCTCTCAAATTTATGTGTGGTTTTAATTTTATTAAAATTTGCTTTAAATCTGCCTATAGTTTTGTCAGTATTTGTTGGCCATTGCCACTGGCCCACCCATTCAAGTTCAAACTGTAGTCACGTTTCAGTAAAATAAAAAAAAATATATATATATATTATTATTATATTTTTTGTCATTTCCGGATAAATTTCTCAAATTTTGATTTGTTTTGCTTATTTAGCAAATATTATTTCAAAATTCTGTTTACCAAATATACGAATTTAATAATATAAAATCTAATACTTTAAAAAAACACTAGAAATAAAAACATGCCACTAATCTTGTAATTTAAAAAATAATAAGTTGTATTTAATAATATAATTATGCAATTTTTTTCCCGTTGAGTGCCCCTAATAATTTGTAAGAACCTGATTTTTCCTAAACAGTCTATTCATGAAATGTATTAAAGACAAATTGTTCCATAATTATCACATTCCATTTAATGAAGATTCTACGGTCGGTCCCGTTAAAGAACCATTCCGTCGAGATTTATAACCATTAGATCAATTTATATTTGACGGTTATATGATGATCTAACGGTTACAAATCACGAATGAATGGTTCCGTAACGGGAATTTAGCATTTCCCTCCATTTAATACTAATAAATGTGCAAATATACAATTTTTTTTTATCTTCTCTTAAATATTATTTTTTTATTTTTTTGGGTACGAATTTTAGTAGAAACGGTTGCAAGCGGTACCTCCCACAACCTCTCACTTTCGCCCAACAAATTCGATTCCATTTAATTTTCCTTTCATTTTTTTAAAACAAAAAAAAAAAAAAAAAAAAAAAAAAAAAAAAAAATGAAGAAAATTGATATATTCTGTTCCTCACAAGCAGCAACAGCGATATGCCTCAGCACGGACGAGAAATCGCCGTCGTCCACCCCTTCCTCCACATCCACCGCCTACCTGCTCCCCGCCTCTGCCGCCGGATCTGGCGGCGGCGGCGCCGCCATCGACCGCTACAACCCGATACTCCGGGATCCAAATCGGACCCCCAAACCTCCACCACCCTACAACAGCCGCTCCGACCCGCCCGCCATCCCCAAATCTCGAAAAATTGCTCACATTAAGAACAGGAAAATCCAGCAGCTCAAGGAAAACGAGAACGATAAACTCACCGGCGGGAGTTTGGTGAGAAGGAGCTGGAAATGCATGAATCCAGGTGATTTTATCAGTCCTCCGGGCTCCACGAGGTACTTGTTGAGGGAAAAAATTGTTCATGCCGCCTTGTCATTGTCCGATTTTGATCGGAGCTCGCCCGTCAATGACATTCCTAAGGATGTGGAGAAAATGGAGGATTTATTATTTGCAGAAAAACAATCGTGTCCTTCCCTGCCTCATGCTCCAGAACAGGTATCTGTTGGATTTTGCCTGCATTCGCAGTACTGTTGCCGCCATTAAAATACCTCCATTTTTTTAATGTTCGTTTAAGGAAATCTAAAGAGATCATGTCATTGTATCCGAAGTGAACCGAGAGAAATCGAAAGCTTTTAAACTAGTGAAATGCTCTGTTTATTTTCAGTGTTTTTTTTTGCTTTTGGAGATAAGAAATAACTCTGTTTTTCGAGCTAGAAGTTGGATTGTCAGCAATTTTTTGAAATTTGAAATTTTCATCAAACTGAAGGATTAATAAGTTTCCAAATACACATTAGAAAAAAGGGAAATGCTATTGTCTCGTCGGGTATTTTAACCATTGGATTCATATGTAGTTAGATAAGATAGATGATCCAACTGGTAAAACACCCGACGAGATGGGTATCGTAACGGGACTGTAGAAGGCATGAAAATTGAACATTGGCCATGCATTTTGGTTTTTAATTTGTTTTTGCAGGTGGTTGTTCTGAGGGTGTCATTGCATTGCAGAGGATGTGAGAAAAAATTGAGAAAGCATCTCTCTAGAATGGAGGGTAAGTGAAGTGTAGTTTTGTATTAAATTAAATAATTGGTCACCATTGTTCTTATTTTCTTTGTTATCTTATCTGCTCCTTTTTATTTGGTACATATCATTTTTGTGGGATTATTTAGGGACCATAGAAGTTTCTGAAATGCTTCATAGTTGTAATTGAATTTCCAACAACCAATTCTTAAATCTTACCCAATTCCTGTTCACATAATTCAGATTCATAAACATAAATGACCTGATACTTGTGATGATTAATTATTAGAATTAGTCAATTATTATCTGCCCCTAACCTTTTTGGAAAAACTTTTATGTTTTTTTTTTTTTTTTCCAAACTTGTTTTTTCAAATTCAAATATTTTATTTCCATTTTTTAGTGATTTAGCTAATAAATCTTGTGTATCATAATTCAGAAAACGATTTACTACGATCCCGTTACGAAACCATCCCATTCGGAGTTATAACCGTTGGATACACATGTAGTTAGTACAAGATAGAAGATAAATGATTTAACGGTTAAAACACCCGACAGGATAGTTCCGTATCGGGACCATAGCATTTCTCTACAATAATAGAAGCAAAACTATAACGCCCCTAAATTTATTGAGCTTAATCTATATTTTATGACTCCTCACATTCATTTATTTATACAAATTGAATTCCTGATATATCTGTCAGGTGAAAATCTTTTTGGGGTACTTTTAGAGGTGAAATTTTTTTTTAGGGGTATTTATTTTATACTTTGACAACGTAAGAAAACACTCTGCAACTTCTCATAATCGAGCCAAACATCTACAATTTTTATTCATTTGTTTTAATAACTACAAACACTTGATTATAATGCAATATACATGTTCATGCAGGTGTTACATCTTACAACATAGATTTTGCAGCAAAGAAAGTGACAGTAAATGGGAAAATTACTCCTTCGGATGTGCTTACGAGCATTTGTAAGGTGAAAAATGCTCAGTTATGGTCTCCAACACTCTCGTCATCTTCAGTGTAATGTAGAGGAGCTCTGGTGCATAATAAGTTTGGCAATGAAGGGATTTCAAATCATTTTTCAGCTTACTTACTACATTATTTGATTCCATGTGAATGGCACATCTGGAAATTTTAGCTGGTTTAAATGATTGATTATTATTGACTTAGAGTATTTGGTTCATAAACTTAGAACTATCAAAAACTTCTCGACCGAATTACCAATTGCGTCGATTTCTTATCTCAAGCCACTGCATTTCTCGCACGAGCAGTTCTTGAATTCTTGTTTCTGCACATTTTCACATCCATGTTCAATCAACTTGCCAAGTCCAATAATGGAAAAACTGCAAGTCCTTCACCTCTAAAAGTGAACAATAACTTTATTTTTTACTTCAACCTTGTTATCATTTTGATTTCTTCTCAATTTTGTCGAACTACATCTAAAGGAAATTTAGGGGAATACCATCACTCTATTCTAAGCATATCTCAACCACAAAAATTCTCGTATGAGACAACCTAATAGTTAGACACGATCATCCCAAGTAATAGGGAACAATGTGGTATTATACAAAAATCATCGAACAAGAAATATGGAATCATCGTTTATGCATAACTATAAATCATTGTTGTCAATGAGATCATGTATCAAATTCAAATGTACTATCGAATTCAAATGTACTTACTACACAACACACGTCGAGTACAAACACAAATCATTCAGATAACAATATCCAAAAAAAA